GCAAGAGCTTTTCTTTTACCTCCATGGATAAGAGTGAATAATATACGAATAATTTATTTATTCATGATAGTCTAGGGTACCAATGTTTATAACTAGGAGCGTTAAGTTGACTAATAAAATTGATATAGAAGCCGTAGCTATTTTAATGACATTGAAGAGCCTACCGTGCTAAGGATACTCTCAAGTTCGGAGGTTTGTTATAACTAGTCGAACCAATTGGCTCCCATAACAGTAAGCTGTTTCATTAATCAAATAAAGGAAAATTTAAGTACTAAGGAGGCGTAGCGTATATTTGAGCAATTTGATTGTATAATGGCTTTACTTTCACTTAGGTTTAACATACTCTCTTATATCGAGCGGTATTATCTGCAATCAGAGCAAAGAAGCCGCATACCCTACTTGCGCAAATTAGCGTCAATTAAACTCTCAAGGATTTAGTTTGCAGGCGACCCTAACATTGAATCATCCTGAGGAATTATACGCGAGAAGCCACTCGAAGCCGAACACCAAAGCTTCTAAAGCCATGTAAGAAGCACATCGTACTTGAACGGACGGCATCTTCGAGAAATGCTAACATTGCCGCTACCAAAGCTATGGAAGCTAGACTGAGAGAAATAAAAGCTGGCAAGAATCACTGTTTAGACAAGCAGGCATCTTGGCTATCGCCAATTTGTGCGAAAATCTAAAACTCTGTGGATATATATTTGGGACGATCAAAGAGCTAGGTGGCAGTTGGAAGATGAAGAATCGGTGATCAGAGAGAGTACTGGGTAATTCTTGTAGAAGATGGTTTTGTTTAAGATCTTGTCTAGGTTCTCCTCTTATTGAGAGCGAAATTTTGGTAAGACTGGTAGTCTTTGGCTGATTATCTCATCTTCCGACTTGCGAAGGATAAAATTTGGCTAAATCTTGGATCCACACGAGAATTCCACTGTCAGGTTCGCAAAGGTCACAGCTGGTAGTTTTTGGTTGTGCTCCCTTTGCAATAGCTCGCAGGGGTTTCGTTTTCTTATAAAGAGCATGCCGATGTATGATCTGAGATAATAGGCCTACCCGATGCCCAGCAATCGTAACAATTCTTAAAGTACAAGACGGTCTCTGTCATTCTCGCAGTCACAAGTTCCTACTCTCCTCTTCCTACATTTTAACCACTAGCCGTGAACATCTTGTTTGATACGGCCGAATTTTTGTACCTGATTGAAATTACGATTATTTTAGAATATAATAACCTTGGAGGATACCAAAGAGTATTGAAATCGTACCCCTAGTCCGTTAGATATAGGTTAGGCAAGAGAGCAGCGAATTGTATTCTAAGCGTGTGATTTTTCAATAGGGAGGGTATAGTAAATACTTGGAGTATTGAAAGAAGATTCGGTGGCTCAGGAGAGTCTAAGTCTGTTGTTAATAGTAGGGCAATGATTTTCTTCTTAGATTGCTAGTTTAATTCTTAAGTCTCTGCAGCACTGGACTTTGATTGAAAGAATGATAGAAGTAGAGACACTCAGTCATTTAGACTTATGGGTCCTTCATTTCGTCTAGTTAACAGATACAATTTTGTGTATTATATTTGGGTCATAAAATGTCATAGAGTAGCCTGAAGGCTACCAAGGGATATATCTGTGACAGTGTAGCGTAGGCCTAAGGAGTGAATTTGTGAATTTATATTGTCAGATGGCGTTTCAATCAAATAGAAAATGACTTTGTCTCTTCGAACCATAGATTTGTATTCTTAGGGCATAACCACCTCTCACTTTCAAGTAATTAAACACGCGACCATCTGGAAAGATTTTAATTCATTTTCCAGGAATATTGAACCCATTCCATTGCGCATTATTAGCGCCGAAGGGTCTGCACAACTCCTTCTAGCCGACATTAGATTGACGATCCTTCTGTACCCTTGGTGTAAGCATGTAGTGTTGAGTCGAGACGTTCGGTGAGGGTAAGCTGAAAGAGAGGCGTGTTAAGCTATTTTCGAAAGTGATCGACGCCTCGTGATGTGCTCAGCCGCAGCGCACATTTTTCTTGAAGATTCGAAGCGCTCCCCCAGGTTCTTTTGAGAAACTAGGGTTGGTCACGTACCTCGACGATTGCAGGGTAAGCCTCGTGGTGTCTATTCGCGGGGTTAGTGATTCGACTGGCATGCCCGCGTGACTGTGAATATTCTGAACCAAGACAAGGCGAACTAAGAGAGCGAAGTTGAATACTCGATATCGGAAAACATTGTATTTAGTGGCTCATGTAGGTGTGAAAGCTAGATAGACATGCGGGTCATCATGTATATAAGACAGGGTTCATGTGCATGCACCGAGCAAGATGCGTTTTTCTAGAACTCACCATGAACCTCCCAGCCGGGATCGAGAGGGTCTTGAAGATAGATCCCGGGTCGCGTGCCGTTCTTAAACGGGCTGGCTCGTATCAAGGCCATAGATGCCTTACCCATCCTAACCGGAGCCGCTGGCGCGCGCACAAATAAGTGGCCGAATGAAATAAGGCCTGTAGCGACACTTTTCAGACTTTGCAGTGTGCGTTGCTATTGAGTACTGGCCCGTTACCAATATCATGAGCGCATCTCAAACTAGTCCTTTGACGTCAGAGATACTCCAGAATTGAATATCATCGTACATACCATAGTCATTTATGTTAATTTTTACAGCTTAGTCTACCCTGGCCAGTAAGCATCCATGTCAAGTTCAGTCGAATCTAGCAATACCAAAGAAGTTGGCCCACGAGGCCGTGATCAAAGGCACCTGACCACATGAATTTTTCGCTCCCACTAAGATCGATTCCCACCTTAGCCTCATCAATTCTGCAAATATGACCTATCACATCTTTATTTCAATGACCAGACCTCTCGCGGCCTTTCCCTGGCCCCAGCTGGCCACCAAATTCACGCCCACACCGATATTTATACCCGACTAACGAAACAAAGCGTGACGCACAAATCTGGGAGACAGCTCTTTGGGATGGGCGTTGGAGAAGTCAGGACAAGTTCAAAAGATGATGCAGACGATGGGTACAATCTCGACGCGCATGAAATTTTGAATTCTGACAAGGAGTTTTACAAGTTGAGCCTTGTGCACGCCAAGCCTGTTATTCCGAGAATGCAGACGACACTGCAAATATAGCCATGGTTGAGTGGTCCGGTGGTACATCATCTTCGATGGGCCCCTAAGTAAGGACCGGATAGCTTGGACACTTATGCCACTTGAGACGGGAGACCACCGGTTCGAATCCGGCAGAACTCAATCACATCCCTCGCAGTGCTTGTATGCATGGGTGATAAAGGTAACTTTTGATAATGAAAGGTTCCGTTAAATTTCTATCTGGTGGTTACTCGGGGAGGAGGCCCGACTGTTTGTGTAAGCAAACAGATCTCATAGAGGTATGTGCAAATGAAATCCAGAGTGTGAGTGTCTTTAACGGCAAGTGAGTCATCCATCATGTTCACATAGCACTGACATGTGCCATAGCTAGATAGCCAGATACACTTAAACGATTCATGATCAAAAGAGAAAGGACGGAAGCAGTAACAATGCTAGCATGTTCCCGTTATCTTAGCCTTGCTAGGAGCATACCAAGGGTCTCCAAGCTCACATAGAATTGGTGCTCTGGTCATCCTAGCATGAAGTGAGTGAGAACCGAAGGCTTCATAGATCACCAACGCCCCCACGAACACTTTCCATTATGGTTGGATGGTGCATTGGTACATATTATAGGTTGGTCTTTAAAGTGATGTTGATGGATCAGAAACCTATTCCACTTAATACAGGAGACCACGGGGCTCAATCTATTCCAATGCAGCCACATTACTCGCCATGCATGTATGTAGGATGATGGTATCATGCTTCGGTAGTCAAAGGTTTTAATGCCAACTGTTTGTGGGCACTCAAGCACAAGGGTTGACTGTTTCCTATCGGCAAGCATGCCTCGAAGTGGCATTTGCGAATGATATCAAGAGTATGAGTGTCTCTCGGGTCAAAAAGGTGCATGACATGTATACAAGGCACTCATCGTGCGTCTACGCTCGAAAGCCGAATACGCATTACATGAGAGAAATAAAACAATAGACGAACTACCATGCCGCGACGATTTGACCTTCCCCCCGGCAGCCATGGACTGACCAGGTAGCTTCTCTACACCAAATGATGAGCCTTGCCGCGTCACTCAGCAATCGCGGTCCTGTACACGATGCAAAGAAACTAGAGGTCCGAACATTTGCACCAGCAACAGTGTGGGGCCAACCGAGTCAGAGGCATGAAGTAATTCTATGTCGCGCGCGTCCATAGAGCACGAACTCCACTCCCCATTTCGTTAGTGTAAAAAATTATCAATTTAAAATGACAATCAATCACCTAGGTAAGGGAAGTTTACTGCACTCCTCCAAAGTCTTAGATCCAGCAAAGCCTTAAATTTAAATATTATCTTTCTGACCCAATAAGACCGGAGAGCTTGCCTAGATTCCGGCCGAACAAAGCGGGTCGTGCCCAGGCACAGTTATGGCGCCTCATGAGAATGTCTTCTCTCTAACTAAATAGCCTGCGCCAAATGGCTTGTTCGTCATGGCCCGTCGTCTGCAAGTCTCCCCCTGTACCAGCCCTACGCGCGTCCCCGCAAACCATAGCGTAATAAGGCGATTATCCGAGGCCTGGCAACAGCCTGGACACTGTCCGTGCGATTAGTCATGTGTCAAGCTGTCCTCAGTTAATATACCGAAGATGCGTTTAACCGATGACACAGGCAGCAGGGCGATGAAATTAGTATCATCATGGGAGGATGCAGATAACAGATACGGAGAATAATTAGGTAACATTACGTAAGTAATAAGAATAGAACATTACATCCAAAAGAGCCCTCCCAGCCATCCCACCGACCCTTCGCCCAAAATCTATGCTACCGCCAAGGTTATCCCTAGTAACGTGAAAAGCTTTTTAATCCGCTGCCTACCATTCCAACATAGAGTCGTCAGCTCTAGGCTGCTTTGCTCCATCACCCCATCTTCGCTAGGTATCTTGCACAAATGCAGACTTGTCTTTGATAACGTCATCACTATTAATACTGGATGCCGAGCGCGACGCTCGAAACCAGGCCTGGACAGCCTCACTGAATCCATGATCCTCGCTTGGTAAGCCATCTTCACGACTGGCCTTGTCGGATTCCATTTTCTCCCACTCTTGACGCAGCTCCACGATACGATGTGCGCGGTCTAGATCGGGGTTATAGGACTTACCCACTCCCCGCATCCGTTCCCAGAGCGAAAGATGTTTCGAGTGGACGGCGATGCCATGGTATTCGTTTTCGCGGCCAGCGCGGATCAAGGCCCAGCGACGCTCTTGTTCTTCGAGGTCCAGGCCCGTGGTATCTGGCACAAATAGCCATGTAATCAGCATTCCACCAAGCCCAAACCATGGAACAACGTGAAATTTGGTCTGGTCATCAATGTAATTGTAAAGGACACTGGCAAGTAGTGCTCCAACCTTTCCGATGGCAGCAGAGAAACCATGGGCAGAAGCTCGCACCGCTGTTGGGTACACTTCAGCAGCTATCAAGAATGTTACCGAGTTCGGTCCAAACTGGTTGAAAAACGAGGACAAAAAGTACATTGCCTGAAACTTCTTGATATTCTGGACCGAACGATAGTATTCGAGATTAAAGGCTGGAATTACGAATAAGATGAAGCACATAAGAAAACCGAATTGCTGCATCCACTTGCGGCCGTAGAGTTTGTTATCAATGAGAATAGTGGCTAGGTAGTAGCCAATCATTGAGACTGCAACGTTAACAATACTCCATTTCCATCCGACAATCACATCCCCCACGATGTCTGCCGTCGGTTCAATGACTTTGATAAATGCCGACTGAAAAAGTTTGTTGCCATAGAAAAATACATCATTGCAAAACCAGGTACCCGCAGTCCCTATAATGCGGCCACCAAAATGGGTGAAGGTGAGCTGGAGCGATTGGATATCATAACCTGTCACATTGCTGTTGGCTTTGGCTTTGGAGAGCTCTTTCGATGCCAATGGCATCTTGAACCATCGGTGATACACGAGCCAGAGCGTACCCAAGGCTGGGATGGCGAAGGAAACACGAAAAGTCCACTGTGCCGATAAAAGCGAATATGGTAAGTTGTTGCCGCCGTGAAAAGCCAGTAGTGAGACGATTAAGATGGCAACGTTAAATAACTGACCCCAACCTTGCATCATGAAAGCCATGGTAACCTGCAGACAAATATTAGCCAGACCACGACATGAAGCTGAGTAAAGATAATCAGTGCACATAATTATGCTGCAGATCATATTGACCAGGGCTTGTTCATGGAAAGATATCTTACACTACGTCCACGATGTAATCGATCTTCTCGTTTTGAATTTAATCCGCCTTTTTCAGAGCATTCCATTGCAGCAGTAGCCGTCATTGGATACTCACCACCCACTCCTATTCCATAAATGAAGAGGGAAGCAGCGTAAAAAATGATCCAGCCATTGAGAGATGCGCCCCATGATGCAGTCAGCATCAGAAGGCCAAAGAACATTATGGCAGCGTCCTGTATAAGACCCCATCGACGGCCAACGCTATACATGAGAATTTTTAGTGATATACTCCGCTTTAATTTACTCGGGCAGCACTTACGCATCTCCAATGATCCCGACTAAGATTTGACCAAATATAATACCGGCAACCTCAAGATATGTTACGGCATGGATCCAATTTTCATTGCAAACTTCATATGTTTTCCAACACCGGGGCCACATTATCTTGAAAAAAGGAGCTAGGTTCCCGATGGAAAAAAGGACGTAGCCTTCTAAGCCTAACCCAGCGCCAGGAAGTACGGCATTTTTCATGTACCACGACAGGGGACTTAATGGGTCGTTCTTAAACATACGCCAAAACGAAGAAAATTCTTTTTTTGCTTCTTGGTTGTTTGAATGATTAACAAAAGCTATTTGCTTAGTAAATGGGAGATCTGCCCAATAAGTACCTTCCGGGGTGTAAAGGTCGTCGGGATACAAAAGGTGGCCGAGGATTGTATCTTCTTCTTGCTTTCTTGGAGATTTCATATCGTGGGATTCCATATTTGTGTCTTTCAAAGGGAGAAGTGATGTTAGACGGTTATTTGGTATTAAGAAAGATAAGGGTAAAAGAAGGATAAAAAGCGAATGTGTTGGCTGCGCCAAGTCGCACAGAGTCGTCTGGCTGCTCTATAAGAGAAGACGACGGTTGGAGATAGTCTGTAGATAGAACGGAGAGAGTCAATGAGATTATATAGGAGGAGCTCCTGGGCAGTGGTAGCTTACTTGCTTGCTACGTTTGCCTAGACGATGCATTAGAAAATATATTTTTGGAGAAGGGAGGGGTATAGTAGGTTGCTGGGGGCTGTTTTTGTTTATGGAGGAAGTTGTTCCCGACCTAAACCTACGCCGGATCTACTTGGCAGAAAAGGTGGGACCCGCGAGTAAGACACGCCTAGTTGAGAATTGTGATCGAGCGTGCGTACAAACAGGCGTGCATGAGAGGGCTATCGTAGTTGAAATTGTGATGGCGGGGTCGAGGGGGAAACAGCCATGAGAGATGGATGAAGGTGACGGGACATCACTCTTTGCATCCTGGGTCGATAAAATGGCTCCGCAACCATCGACCAAGCTTTGGACAGTGAGAGGATGGGACTTTTAACAGCCACCCATCTTAGACAGGTGCCATCAAGAAAATCTTATTCGTTGCCACCTTGTCCGCAATACTATCACTTCTCAGAACCACCGTTGCCACACTGTTGTTACCTGAGGCACAACTCTGGCCAAGCTTGAGCTTAGATTCAGAAACAGACGCACAGTCACGTGCACAAGCCCATACTTCGCGCCGCCGCTTGCCCTGGCCACGGGCGCGATCTAAATCAAATTGAATCGGCTAGAATAAGTCGCCTTGCACCTCCCGATGGCCGTGCGTACCAAGACCCATGGTCTCAAGGGCGTCAAATCATGTCATTAACGACTGGATCTTCCGCGACAAATATTTCTCGCGGACCAAGATCCTCTGCTATCCAGCCAATTTTCCCAACTTATCATATCTTCATCGCTATCGACTCCCCCCTTTCCTCCAGCCCCACCCTCCTAATTCTCAGTCTCAATCACTGGTCTGGGCAAACCAATCACCGGCTCGAAGCAGACAATGTGTCTTTGATGAAGACGCCGATGACTTGGTATGGACGAAAAACTCGGAAATTGCGAGTCTTCATTCCTCAATACCATCAACGATATTGGACAAAACAGTCTCAGGATTAAGACGCACTCACAACTTTGCTGATAGTTTAGATTGACATCCGCCACGTTATTGCAACGGTCAGTGAATCTAGGGATTCCCCTGGCGAACTTTTCTTCCCGGAATTGGAAGGATAATTATTGGACCTTATCTTTGAACGGACTAGCCACTCACTCTTTCCATACGTATGGCAGAGAGGGCATCCCTATCCGCCTGGAATACTCAGTAGAAATATTCTCGACACCAAGGTAGCTCTAAGAACGGGGGGCCAGTCAGTCCGGCATTCGAGATCTACCTGATACTTCCTACTAGTACGCTGAGCATGAGGTCTACAAGCAAGTTGTTGCCGGGGCTAATGAGGGTTTGAGAGATCCTGTGGGTCGCTTTTCAGCTAAGGCTCGACTTACTCTCCAAAATATGATTTTTTACAAGCTGGCCGACTGAATTTTATGATATTTTTTTATCTATAGGATGCATTCTGGCCGCTAATTTCTTGGCTTCTCTCCACCTCCGTGGGATTGGTGAAACGTGCCTCTGACAGACTTCATAGTTGGACGCCCCCACGGAGATCACCAAAATCATGGTCACAAGTACCCGCATGATGAGTATGGAAGGATAAGTCACGGCTGAAATGGATGAACAAGAATAGAGATCCAATATGCTCGGCCATGAGGGTAAGAAGTCTGTGGTATGAAGCCTTGACTCGTCCCAGTTCGAGATTTTGGGATTGGAAAGCAGCATGAGACGAATCAAATTGAGCGCAAGTGTATTTACTTTCCACCTTTCATCTTACCCTTTCCATCAGTGTAGAGTTTTGGCTGAGCCGGATGGGAAGCATGAGGAAACTGTGCTGGGTCACGTTTGTACTGACAAGCCTCACGGTGAACACGTCCTACGATTTATCACCAAGACGTTGCAGTTTGTGTGGCTGCTAGACTTCACCAAATAGCCATGATCCGTGCATCCTAAGGAAGGGCGTTGTGGCACGTGTGTCTAGCGTTCGTGCTCTTGAATTTGGCAGAGAGGGGCCACGTTTCAATGCCGGACCGCCTTAATGGCTGCATGGGTCGCGTGTCGCTAAATTAGATGCCTGCACGATACAAGAGTTACCGCCGTGTCTTGTCATCTTTTCATCCGAGTTAACCTACCTTTTGCGCCCACTAGGGTTTGACCTGAGACAAGGAATTTTCTTTCACAGGCTAGAGAGGATGGAGCATTCGGACCTTCTAGTTTCCATGGCTGCTAGATCAGTCGCAGATCCAGTTCATCTCCTTCATTTTCCGATTCCCGCCAGTCCAGCCCGAAGGAACCTCATCCTCTCCTCAATCCATCGTAACCTTGCACATCGACCAGGTTCCTCTTGTCAAGTCGGAGCGCTATTGGATTGATTAGATCGTGCCATAGTATACGAATACGTGCCGAACAGGCCTGTCGACCTTGAGAATAACTGAGTATAGAGAGCTTGAGAGCTTCGTTTATTCACATGCCCTCTTCTTCCATTCCGATTGGTAATATTGTCCTGAGAAAGTCCAGTTTTCAAACTTCTTGCTGGACAAACTCGCTGCCTGTCCAGTACAACAGCAGTTGATCGTTTCGATGTGCTACTACAGCAGTTTCTGGTAAAAGATGGTGAATGTATATATTACTCCATGATACTTCCATCTAATCTATTATGTTGGAAATTATAAATTTGATCATGTTTATTATGTGAGCCTAACTTTTGAGGCTGTACGAAGCATGTTGCCATGTCTGGTAGTCCAACTCTGCGCCAAATTGATATCATTGACACACTTGGGTCTTATCCTAACAAGTTTACCATACCCTTGTTGTGACAAAATTATAAATCGAAAAAATTTCGGGTAGGTGACCAGTGAGAATAATCTTATGAGACATGATACCAAGGCCTATGTCTTCCAGCCAAATACCGCGTATTTCCCCCAAATGTCAATGGCAAATCTTCTACTTTTATCTCTACCCGCCACTCTACCAACGTGAACTCTTAGGTTCGATTTTCCCTACTTGTAAATCTACTATTTCCGCTTGAAATATAAAGACGTGTATCGGAGGAAGTACACGAATGGTTGCACATCCTATTCGTGTATTTTGCTAAGGTGTGAGTACGAATAGAAGCTCGCCTCATTGGCACTTTCTGCCTTTGTATTGAATATCTGCGCTTTGATTCGCAGATATTAGCGCCTATTCGTTGCAGAGCTATTATTATTAACAATAAAAGCGAATATCTTAGAATCACGGGGCTTAGTTCTTGCAGACGCTGGTCTCTGGGCAGCTTGTCCTAGGCTTAGACCATTCTATCACTGCATCACAGTCCCTACGCAGCCTCCCTAAGTGCATAGGTGTTATGGTCAGTTATGATAGAGGTAGAAGACCTAGTAGCTTGTGTGAAGTTCTAAGGGATGTAGTATACGGATATGAAACTGGGCTAAGATACCTACGGTGGTCTGGCGATATGGACGCGCTAGTGACATATTTATTTCTATTAGCTTAATTCCTCACACATTGTGTATGCAGAATAGAATAGCAATAAATTTGTGTCCCTACTGAGTCCATGACTGTGAAGGACTGCTAAAAACATATGAAATGCTACCAAGATTTACTTGTTTTTATATGTGCTTCATTTTCAATATTTTCCAATAGACACTGAGGGTCTTGCCCTATTATACGTATAGCTTTTAGACATAACTGTGCTCTATAGCTTTATTACCCTTCAAACTTTGAACTCCTGCTTGCCATAATTAGTGTGTGATAACAGCTAGCATATGGGTAGTCATTACGTCATCGTGGTGTAGTGGTTTGTTTGTATTTGCTACAGTCCTAGTATGGGTACCCGATCGGTAGAGCCAGCGGGGATCACTTCTTACAGGCTATAGTCATTCCAGCCACGTAAGCTTCGGCGAAAAGAGAAGTTAAAAGCGCAACGAAAATCAAAAACTATAATCAAAAACTACTAGAATTTCCTTTGTGGTCCAGATGCGGCGCAACTCAACCACTCCATTTCTCGCCACATCTTCCGAGTGACAAATTCCGATCTCCGCTGAGGGTAGAAGATGAACTCGCATGTACCTCTTTTTGCTAGCCGGTTTCTATTGTATTTAGATAATTGTATATTAAGAAGTCTTACTCTCATCAGGCCTGCTGAGCAGCACAAATATACAAAAGCCCGTGCATAATCAACGTCACGTGTCAATCTTGGCTAATATCTGCCAATCACAACAATTCTGAACTCTGTGTGATTGATGTCTTCGTTGACGCCATCAGATGACGCCGCATACTCTCGTAGTGTGGTGGTGATATACAGTCTCTGCATGACAATAATCCAGGGCCAAGTATGCGCAGCATGATTGGCATAATTCCTTAGTTGAGCGAACAATCTGCTGTGTCATTGAGGAATAACATGAGTAGTCTATTCATGACCTGATAAAGGCATGATGGCCAAGCTCTCACAATTAGCACTTGATTATCTTCAGAAACTTCTACTCATTTAACCACGAGCATACATCATTAAATCAAGTTAAAAGTGTTAAAAGAGAGAGCTATGGTTGAGCCAACATAATCACAACATTTATACCGAGGCGATTCTAAGTGCCCCTCGGCACACTCTTGGACAGGACCGTATAACTTGGCCTTTTTTCTAGAAGCCAGCTTGAACGAGAGCTGTGCGGGCCTACGAGACTATGATCTTACGCTAGCAGGGGTTAGAGCTCGGAGAATTTCCTGAAACTCCGGTGGCGGATTCGAGAACTTCGCATGGCGTAACTGGAACCTTAGCCCCGACCACAAGACTGTACCTTTGCCGACTCTT